AAAATATTTAATTTACAATTTATCCATGTTATTACTTGACCTACCATGTGAATTTTGTATCAGCATAATCATTTTTGAAGATCTTGGATCTCTTTCAAAAAAGTTCTTTTCACTTGTCTACTTCTATGAACCACAATTCATTACTAGACAATATTCTGAAAACAATTTAAAGGCAGGGATTTCAGATTTTTCAACTAGAAGCTATTTTTATGTGCCATCTTCGTGTTAATAATGATTTCAATGGGTAGACATCATATGGTTATAATTAACTAAAAGTAGATCTCGTACAACGATAGAATAGAATATGATATATCTATACTATTAATAAAGGGAGAAGTGGGATTTGGTGTCCTCTCTTTTTATCGGTAGTTAATAATAGTTAGTTATAAATCTATCAATAATATTTTATGTTGACTACATATAACTGTCCCTCTATCACATTTTATCACCTATACTTCCAATTTACCACATTTAACAACCTATAATATTCTATTCTAACCTCTTCTTACCCCTATGTCTATCTCCTTCTTCCTATATGCACACATGCATGACCCCTATAGAATGACATGAAGGTAGTGTTTTGCCTTGTGAGAGTTATATAATTGTACAGTTTTTGTGCGGTTTTTCACTTGGATATGGGTTCTTAAAGGAGCATAGAGATTGCATGAGAGAGAGAGAGTGGTATTGGTGCTATTGCCCCATGCACTTGATGCACTGGTTGAGGCATTCACCACACCCACCTCATTTCAAGCCACTGAATCCTCTCCCCACCAAACTTACGTGTTTTCCTTTCCTCTTATCCTCCACTCATGCCTTCTTAAATTTTCTTCTGATTACACTCCAGATTCTTCACACTATCAGTTTCTCTACTTAATTTAGGAACTCTGTCCCCCTTCCCACCCCCTCCAACCACACACACACAAAGTCTGGATTCCTGACCCATGGACATACCTTCTAAAAGTGGCTCTTTAATCTCTATTTATCATCTAGATTTCAAAAAAAAAAAGTCTAGTGTTGGTCTTTCGTCTTTTGGAGTCTGAGAATGATGTATATACATAACAGTACCCTGTATACAAAACGCTTAGGTGATAATAAAACAATCTCACTAATGAGCCAAGGCCTGTCCTCGAATTCAGCATTCTATAATATCAATCAACTTGATGAGCAAACTATCAATCTTTCAAGAGAAGAACTTCAAATGTCAACGACAACCCATTCTCTATGGTGTCATCGTGTTAGTGGCAAACTTTTAAAATTGAACAATGCATGCGTATAATGTCTGAGTTTCACAATTAATGTATATTTTCCTAGATGATATATGCTGTCAAGTTGGATCCTTGAGAATATTTGATTTAAACCCTGTTTGAAAATGGCACAACTCTCTACGCCACCTTGTAGAAATATTACATTCTATATATAGTATATATACTTACAAAAGATTCATAAACAAGTTGTTCTTTAGCATGAACCACAGGACATGGGTGAAGACAGCCAAGAGAGTATTTTAGTCCAACCTATTTGAATAGAGTAATGCTGAGAAAGCCCTAACCATTCTTCAACTTTCAACCTTATACATCAGTATGAGTAATGATGTAAACTAATCTATGCTATTTGATTATTACCATATATATCATATGATGTATTAGAATCCCATTTCCAACCGGATTCTAAATAACTACATAACTTGCCTAGTGAGTAAACTGGCCCTGCCATCAACTGAAGTTTTCTTCCGCCACCCCGGAAACTTGACTTACAGATCTTGGGCAGCAACGATCTTAGAAACCACAAAATCGCAACTTACTATCTGTTAGACAACCATCTACTCCAAAAGCTTAAACTAATATAGAGGGTGTAACTTAAATATTATATTTCAGCATGCCCACTTATGTGCAGACCAGAGAAATCTTTTTGATAATTAGCTGATGGTGAGATTCAAATATAGGACCTTCTGTTCTAATACCATGTTAAACAATCATCTGCTTCGAAAACTTAAGGTATTGGAGAGAGTATAATAGATTAATTCATAACACAATTCTTCTTGTAAGAGGATTTTGGATACAGACGAATTAATAAGAGGCAGAACTCAATATTTTTATAATTATATTAATAATTGGTCTGTATTATCCCAAATTGATAGTGTGCCATGGCTCTTATATGGAGCATTTGTCATGGAGCAGAACAAATAGACCCACAATTATTATAAAACCTTAAAGATAATGAGTGCTAATCTTCAAACCATGTGCTAAATTTGAAGAATAACTTTTCCAGTATTTGTGCTGGAGAACATGGAAGCTATGCCCTCCAAGAAGCTCTCAATACCATGGTAGATTTTGTGTTTGAAACTGATCTTCCCTTCCTTTATGTAACCCTGCATCTCTTTTGCAAAGTCCCCGAAGCGATGTAGATATGAACCGATCATAAAACCTTCCACTCTCACTTCTTTACCAACCAAATTCAGTAGGTTCCTGACCCCTTCCCTCTCTGTCCAAATCTGCAGAAACACAACAATTTGGCAGTTCAAAAATGCATCCTAATCTACCATGACTTCTATAAAAGTGTGTTTTCAACTCACGTTTGTAACATTTTTACTAAAAGCAAGAATGTTAAAAAGGCGAGTTGAAACATAATTTTTTTTTTAACATTGAAAAGAACAAAACTATGGTAACCTGAGAAATAAGTGAAAAACTCTCGTAGAGTGGTAATAAAATCAGAAAATCCCCACATTTTTATAAAATATTCTTGGCAATGCCACACTGGGTTGTGGAGATCATTGATTATACCTTACTGTATTGAGATATCATCCCACAAACTGGTATTCGGGCGCCATTGTTGACATGGTTAAGGACAGCCTCAAGCATGTTACCACCAACGTTGTCAAAGTAAACATCAATGCCATTAGGGAAATACCTGCAATATATGCAAGGACTTCCAATCATTCACAGTACTGCCATGGCTGCTGACAAATTACCAATGCTCTACAAACTCTCAAACAAGGCTAAAAAATCAATCATGGTGGCTGATTACTGTTACAACTTTTTCAATTTGCATTACAAGTTATATTTCTTAGTTTTCACGCTTCTTAGTTCTGAATTATTCGATGCTAAATATTGCATTAGGCCGACTAGTTCTCTTGTGTCCAATTGTGTGAAATCTGTACAGTATATGACGGTTTATAGTAAGTTAGGTTTCAGATTTTGCATCTATAATCTGTAACAAGGGTAGTGGAATTTCATGAAACAGGAAATTCTGGAAAAAATTACTTGCTTAAAGCAGCATTGAAATCTGTCTCTGTGTGATAATTGAATGCATCATCGTATCCAAATTCCTCCTTTACCAGCTTCACCTACATAGAGTTTCGACAAAGGCTATTAAGGAAGGATCAAAAGTTAAAAAATATTAGCTGGGTCCGTATTTAAAATGAACTAAAACTTAGTTAAAAGCTGGAGAACGAAATTGAGAAACAGTAATTAAGGACCAAAGTGAACATAAGTGTACACTTTGAGGGTAAATATAGAACTAACCCTCATAAATATCTTAGTTTTCGCGTGAATGGTCTGCCTTTGATTGGATCAGAAGGGGGATTAGTCAAGGTGCTTATAATTTGACCCAGATATCCTTGACCGTTGAACCCTAAAAAAAAAATAATCGAACTAACCCTAAATATATTGCTAGCAGTCTGATATTAGACATGGCCACTTGAAGTGGAATATGATTGCAAAATACACAAAATGGTGATACTGGTGGAGAAACCAGAGTGACAAGAAACCCCCTAAGGAACAAGCATCAATTAGGTTTGGAATGATGACCCACAATTTTTTTTTTTTTTTTAAAATTGGATTGGAACATGTGTTGAAGAACTTTTCTATGGATATAAAGTCCCCCATGATTGGTCTAAATTGGCTCGAAATTAGGTGTTGGAGAAATTATTCTATGGATTAAGTCTGCCTGTGGATCCTACTTTAAGAAATTAACGTGGCTCACATGATTCGACGCATGTAATTTTATTAATTATTATCGGATAATTAGTTTAGGTTAGATAATAATAAGATTATCAATCCTAAATTAACTGAATAACTAAAGTCTGATTAGTTGATGAGAAAAAGTGATTTCCTGATGTCTAGTAGAGTTTATGTTGAACTAGAGAACTGATCCTCTCTCTACCTATAAATATACATAGGTCACATCAAGTTGTGTATTGAAAGATGAAAGATCAAGAGAGATAAATCGATTTTTGAGCTACACTAAATGATAGTTCAATTCTTGATCAAATAATTCAAAGGTTTACATTAATGACTTCAGGCATATTAGATATTATGTTTTAATTCCGTATTATGAGTATGTGAAAATCAAGATCTCACCTTCTCAAAGAGAAATCGAATGTCACTTTCCCTCTTTTTTTTTCACCTTTTTGTTAAACCCAATACATGATCATCACCATTATTGCCCCATATTGAGACTACTATGACATCAATAACTATCAAATCTTATAGGACATTAATAAGCATTAAACCTTGTAAAACATTAAAATAAGCATTAAAGTAAGTAAAATAACTAACTATTTAACTAAAGTTAGGTAGTGCAGCCCAGTAAAGCTTTCCCTTGCAGAAGAAATATTTGAATTGAGACACTAAAATCTTTTTTCTCGTTCTCCGGGCAACTAACATATTTTTTTTTTGGTTCAACGGTCAAAAATATTTGTGTCAATTTATACGCACCTTCTTTAATCCCTCTTCAATCCGATTAAAGATAAATCATCTATATCAAAACTAAGATAGTCAGAAGCACTTACCCAAAGAGGCCACTAACATATTCAAGCTCGGGCCCACATGACATGTAGTATAGGTCCTAAACTTTATAGAGATCTCGAATATATGTGATAGAGAATTTCGAATGAGCTCCCAAATAGTTAAACTTGAATGACAACAAATTTACTTGGAGCAATTATTTAACAGGTCAACATCGTATTTGGGCCGGACAAGGGAGAACTCTTAGATAGAGAAGGATTAATGATTTGAATTTTTTTTACTGCCAAGACTTTGTGTTTGGCATCAACGAACCATGGGTTGTTGTTACTATTATTATTGTTACGAATGTTGTTTGTTTTTGTGTTGATGATGTTGTTAGACTATACTTATGAATAATCGCTAACAATAATGTTTTTTGTTGTAGTAATCAAGGATCAAAATATTGTTTTGAAACGGTTAAAACGTCCGAAACGTTTTCGTTTTCAAGGAGATCGAAACGAATCAATAATAAAATCGAAATTTTAATATATTTATATAATATTTTAAGATATTCCATAATATTTCGAGATGTTTTATAATATTTCAATGTAATTGCACAATTATTTTAGAATATTTTAAGATATTTAAAAATATTTTGATATATTTCAATCAATACTTTAGAAAAATAATCATTAAAATTTTTATTTTTTTTATTATGTTTCTGAAATGAGTCGCAATGTTTACGAAAGACGTCGAAATGTTTTCGTTTTCCAAGTGACTAAAACAACACACTGAAACAAAAATTGGATCCTTAGTAGTAATATATCAACATTACCATATTAGCTTCGCACTACTAGGAATAAAAATAGTCTTATTAGAGTTGTTTGGTGTCATGGTTGAATCATGTTATTTTGGAGCATTAGTCAACTTTAACTTATTTAATAAATTTTGTTAGATGAGTTAACACTAAACCACCATATTTGTTAATAATCAAAAAATAATCAAGAGCTAGCAACCTAAAAAGAGTGAGCCTTTAATATGTAAAAAAATATTCATTGGTGCATCAGTATTGTCACGTGGTGTCACCAACTAATAATATGTATACAAATAAAGAAGTGGACTCTACACATGTCAATAACTATCCGTTCATGTAAACAAATAACTATCCACTCATCTTTCATAGAAGGTAATAACTATTCAAATAGAGGTTATCCATTTGAGATTTTATTATTAGTCGGCTATTCCATGTCAATTTCTTGATTACGTAATACCTTGTCGTCAGAGCCGGTGCTTCCTATAACTCGACACCCTTTGAGTTTTGCCAATTGTCCGGCATACATTCCGACACCTCCGGCGGCCGCCGAGATAAAGACATTTGATCCTGGCTTAGGCTTCCCAAGTACCTCTATTCCCACCCATGCAGCGAACCCAGGTACACCTATAAAATTAAAAATATAGATTCATTTGGTGGATTCGGGTCAAAATTCAAAAGAAAAACACCTGTAGTCAAGATTTAATCGTATCTTTACTGGTATGAATATACAATTGAATTAATATTTAGATTCATTTGAATACGGGCCAAACAAAATTTAAAAGAGAATCGTACGATTGATCATGTTTTAGTGGTAACAAAATGATTTGACCATGACACTTATCCTCTGATTTTCGGTCCAAATTTAGATATTCTAGACTATAAAAGGACATTTATAAACTAACAAGGATCAGTAATGTCCAAAACGAATCAATAATAAAATTAAAATTTTTTAATATTCGAAGTGTTTTGTAATGTTTCGAAATATTTTGTAATGTTTTAATATATTTGCACTAATATTTTTAAAAAATAATTTTTTATTTTTTATTTTTTTTCGAAACGGGTGAAAATATTTTCAAAACACAGGCTAAATGTTTTGATTTCTTAAATGAAGGGACAATACATATAAATAAAATTTTGATCCTCTAGTAATTTCAATAGACCAAAAGCAATTTACCGAAGCAACCAAGGTAATCCGGTAATGCAATCCCAACCGTTGGATCAACTTTTTGAAGGAAAGTGGATGGTACTACGCTATATTCAGCCACCGGAGAAAAAGGGTAAATAACAATATCACCCTCAGTGAATTTGATGTCCTTGGACCGAATTACCCTTCCCATCCCGAATGCTTCTATTCCCTGCAACACAACACTAAACATAAAGTCCCCCCACAAAATAAAAAATAAAATAAAAATGCAATAGATAGGGCCATATTTACACGTCGCAATTCTAAATACAATCCGCAAATTCAGACAAAATCGACATGAAATTATAAATTTTGATTTAATTTTAATGAATTTGTATAAATAAGTCGACACCATCCTACTAATAAAATGAGATATGTATGCGTTATACATTGTATAAATCTAATTATATACAATTACAAATAAAATGGAAATAAATTAAGTAAATTATCGAGGACACAACTTAAATAAAATACGAATCCGACATGATAGGATTCGTATACATTAAAGACACAACATAGTGGCAACCCTGACTTACTACATTGATTTGTTGTTTTTTTTCTTTTTTCAAAGGTCAGGGTATTCGGTTAATTTATGCACGTTTTGATTAATCTTTTATATGTTTCGATCAAAGATATTTTGGTTAAAGATAAATTATTCAGATTAAAATTACGGTATTTATTGAGAAAAAATTTCTCATAATTTATCCTTAAGAAAATGTCAAGATTTAACCTCAACAGATCTAAATTGATGGGTTTGTAATAGAAGAACCTTATTGAGGGGAAACTGAGGAGCGTAGAGCCCATCTTCATGGCCGGACATTCTGGAACGTAGATATGGATCAAGAGAGATATAGAGGAGCTGAAGAGCCACGTGTTGATCTGGGATTGCAACAGCAGAGAGAGAGAAGCTCACAGTGCGTAGTTTTAGATGATCAGAAGTTGGGACACCTTCTGGTGCATAGGCAGCTAAATACCATTCTCTGTTCTCCACCACCGTCACCTCCTCAGCACCACCACCACCACTACCCATCTCTCTCTCCGTGTCTGTGAAAAATGCTTGTAATTATACGTTAAGTGGTGGGTGGGAATCATGGACCACGTTGATTTGACTTGCGTCACACACAATGAGTAGCTCCTATTTAGTGGAGCAGGTGTAAAGTCATTATCGTACTCTCTAATCTTTGGGAGAGATTTTGGCACGGATCTAAATATCGGTTTTGACATTAAATATTATCACATCTTCAGTAATTTTGCTTACCACGTGATAATTTTGTCTCTAAAACTAGTAAATATTATCTCAAACGGTTAAACTCAGTTCAATAGATTGTAACCTCATTTTACATTTAGGGGTGGTAACTTAATTTTAAATAATTATAACTTCACATTTATAAGTAGTAATTTTATCATAAATAATTAAATATTTACTTCAAAATGTTATAAACTAACCTCTAAAGTTAATAATTTTACCCTTAATGGTGCCACAAAAATTCTTAACGTTGAGGTTGGTAACCCAGATCAGGCTATTCAGATCGGGAGTTCAGCTCATCTATATTATTTAGAGACTTTGAGCTCATACCTCAACTCTCTATATTCACATCTCGAAGAAGGTGGTAGTGGTTCTGGCGATGGCGGTGTTGTGGTAGAAGGAGAGAGGAGAGTTGGTGGTGGTTGTGGGTTTGGATATCGGAGTTTTAAGTGAAAATTATAAATTATTAATTTTTTTTGAATTGGTGATAGGGTAATTTGGAAATTTTATATAAAAAAGAAACGGATGTCATTAAATTTTAATGATATATTTAATAGATCTTGACGACAAGGGTACTATATATTACATGCACACATATTTTAAGGGCATTTAGTATAATTTTCTAAATGTAAGGAGATTTGTCAGTTCAAGTGACAAATGTAAAGGGATTCGAATATAATTTCCTCTACACTTTTTTTTAAAGTGAACTTATATTTTTTTAAGGTCATGTCACCACTTTTAAAAACAACATTATCACAATTATGGTTAAAATTACCACCTTTTTAGACGAAAATGTATAACCTTCCGTGGCAAAGAAATCATTTTCGTAGGCAATATTTAATGGCAAAAAAATTAACAACTACACAATTTTTTATAGTACGGTACCTAACATTAAATTATCGGTACTAACCCTTGCCCTACGGCAGGGATTCATGAATCATAATTGATTTGGCTTGCGTCACACACACTGAGTAGCTCCCAATTTGCGGAGCACATCTAGTGATTCTCGTGGGAAAGGTTCTGACTTGGGTTCGGTTCGTTTCAGGTTTATTTTTTAAATGAATCTGATGATGTACAAAAATAATTTTGTATATCACCTGTCAAATGTATGTAATAAATACAATGAAATCAATGAAAAAATTAAAAAAGACACAATTTATAGTGGTTCAGTCAATTTGACCTACGTCCACTCTTCAATGGCTTCAGTTGCCGGGTATTTTATTGATTCAAAGGTATGAAGAATAGATATACAAGCTTTGAGAGAGAGACTGGAGAATCAAAGAAATAGTAATCTCCGGTAGTCGGTTCGTCCTCTGTAAGTCTCTGGTGGGGCGTGACATTCATTTTCCTCTTCTACCAGATTGAAGCTATTTTATAGCAGCTAAGAGATCATTCTTGTGGAGATCACGACTTATCCTCAAGGCTTCTTTATCGCAGCTAAGAGATTATTCTTGGTGGAGATCACGACTTATCCTCAAGGCTTCTTTATCGCAGCTAAGAGATTATTCTTGGTGGAGATCACGACTTATCCTCAACGGAAGGAGGAGGTTGGGGAGCTCTTCATGAAACGTGGTCAAAGATTGGACCGTTTCCTTCGGTGGTGCAGATAAGCTTCTCATGCTCTCCTCTTCATGACGTGCTAAGCAAAAAGTCTAACCGGTCTTGGACTTGGTGGATTTGGACCGTTTCCTTTGGTGGTGCAGATAAGCTTCCCATGCTTTCCTCTTGGTGACGTGCTAACCAAAAAGTCTAACCGGTCTTGGACTGTGTTGGACTTGGTGAAATCAAAATTAGGTTGGGCTTCTCAACTGGGGTTGGATTTTAACACATAAATTGGACTATTTGGGCTTAACCCATCATTTGCCCCCCAATGCCCCATGTCCAAGGAGACTTGGAGAAGGAGGCATTGATTACATTTTTTTTTTTTTTAAAACTTCAAGTCTTTTCCACTTTATTTTAAAGAAGACCCATAATATTCTGTTTGGCCTTTTTGTTTTGAAAAAGACTTATAACTTTCTATTTGACCACTTTATTTTGAAGAGGACCCATAATTTTCTATTTGGGCTTTTTTCCTCTTTTTGAAAAACCCTAGACTATAAATATAGTCTTCTTCTTCATGTTACCCATTTCACTCATTTTTAAGGTTGAGCACCCACCTCTTGAAAACCTTGAGAACTCAAGTCCTACCCATTTTGTTGAAGCCAAAGTGTGTTCTCCTTGAATCCTTTCAAGAGTATGATTTCTTCCTTGCTAGTTGAGCTTCTCAAGTGAACAATGTCGATTGAAGAGGGAGTGGTGGAGGTTGAAGAAAGGGAGGAAGTAGGCACCATTTTGGAGAACTTGGAGGCTAGTTTTGAGCATTCGAATGCTGTCTTGGACAACTTTGGGGCTGAAAATGAAGGGCTAGACAGCGAAGGGGAGATGGGCAGCGCGAGGAGTGGCTTGGGCAGCGAAGGGAGACGACTGGGCGTGCGATTGGGCAGCGCTCGCGCACGGTGGGGGCCTGGGCGGCTGCCTAGGCTCTGCTCCTCCTGTCCTGGACAGCCCAGGTGCGCTGGGCGCTGGCCTTGCTGTCCTGGACAGCCCAGGTGCGCTGGGCAGCAGCCTAGCTGCTGCTTCTACTGTCCCGGACAGCTTCAGATCTGCTGCGCTAGGCGGCTTTGGAACGCTGGGCAGCAGCATTTTTCCATCAAGGGGCGCTGAAAATCAGTCCAAGGTTCATCAGGGAGAGCTAGGTAGTGGCCTGGGAGCACGGGCTGATCCGATTCCCACTCGAGGCGCTGATTTGGGCGCCTTAGGTGCTGATTTTTGCGCCAAAAATTCTGCTTTGCGCAATTTTGAAGGGCCAGACACCCTTCAAGCTACTGGGTAACTTTGTTTTGATGAGCAACAGTAGTCAGGCACACTTTCAGGCGTTGGGCTAGACATTGCAAGTAGTAAGGAAGCTTTGGGTGCTGCCCTTGATGATCAAGCCCCTATTGTAGCTCCCCCGATTCAAGTTCCTCAAGACTCTCCCAATGGTGATTTGGACTACTCCTTAAGGCCCTGGAAGAAGAAACGCAAGAGCAAAGTGAGACTTGATGATGACGGGTCTAAGGTGAGCACCCTTTCTAGTTTGTTCCGCTTAGATGAAGATATTTCAAGGCTTGTTTTTACTTATCGCATCCCTCCGACCGTGTTGTGCCGTCGGGCTGAGTTGGCGCGAGTTTGCTTGCGATGACTCTTCCGGGGATATTGTTGTCTACGAGGAGATGCTTGAGGCTGGGTTAAGATTTCCCATGTCCTCCCCCATTTGTCGTGTTTTGCATTACTTTTCCTTGACTCCGGGGCGACTAGCGCCTAACGGTTGGAGAGTCCTGCTCGATTTTCTTGCATTATGGAGAAAGGTGCACCACGAGGATGCTTCCCTTATGGAGTTTCATGCAGCATATAATTTGAGCGAAACCCCTACACCAAATAGGGGATGGTACTATTTTACCGCACGAAGTGGTACAGTGCTTACAGGAATGCGCTCTAATTGTGGCGGCTGGAAATCTTGTTTCTTCTTTATTAGTGGAGAATGAGCTTCAGAAGCAGACAGAGTTTCGGTGCCAACACATTGGGGTGCTGCTAAAAAACCCGGTATGCTGCACACTTCTTCTTTTTCCTTTTTTTTTTTTTTGTGTGTGTGCTCACTTTTTCCATGCAGATATACCTGTGCTTTCCCGGGACTAGGAGTGGAAATTGGAGGCTGTCAAAGCTTGCCCTTGTAAAGATTTGGGAGTTCTCCTGCCCAAGTATACTAGAGCTGTAGCTCCATCTCAGAAATCTGGCAGCTCCTCTTCGAAGAAAAAGGGTGAGCTAGTTTCCTCTTTTTTTTTTTTTTATCTAACCCTTCTCTACTCTTGCAGCAAGTAAGAGGGTGGTGGTGTCCTGTTTTTCTAGCAGGAGCCCTCCTTCTTCCAAAGTGACAAGGACGGGTGATGCCCCCTATGTGGCTTCCACGGTGGCTCCTTCTCAGCTGACAACTTCTCCAACTGCTGCTCTAGAATCTTCCTTGCCAGGCACATCTGTTCCACCTTTATCCTCTCCTCGTGCTACCCCTCCTTTGTCTCCTCCTTGTTCAGGAACTTCTTCCCAAGTGCTGATTTGGGCTGGTTCTATGATGGGGAGACCAGCAGCTATCAGGGCAAGGCTTGGGAGGTTTGTGTTTGGGCCAGAAGTTTCTGAGCTTAGCGCTTCGGGCACTGATAATATCGTCAACACGTATTTGGAAGGTCTGGCTCAGGTAAGGGTCTGCTATTTCCCTTTCTCCAGTCGTTTCCTGTGTTTTTGACTCTTTTTTTTTTTAGGTTTCGACTTCCTCCATCTGCTTGCTTTCGAGGGCCTATAATCAAGACAAGCTGAAGCTGGATCTTAGCCTTGTGCAGAGGGAGCTTATTACTGCTCAGGAGAGGATTGTCGAGCTTGATTCTGAGCTTTTGGTGACCCGTGAGAGGGACGTGCTCCGGGAGGGTGAACTTGTGGCAGCACATGAAAGGTTTTCTAATTTTGAGTCCGAGCTTCTGGCGGCCCGCGAGAGGGACGCGCTCAGGGATGGTGAGCTTGCTGCAGCCCATGAGAGGGCCACTAAGCTAGAGGCTGAGCTTTTGGCAGTCCACGAGAGGAGCGCGCTCAGGGATGGTGAGCTTGTTGCAGCCCATGAGAGGGCCACTAAGCTAGAGGCTGAGCTTTTGGCAGTCCGCGAGAGGAGCACGCTCAGAGAGGCTGAGCTTGTAGAGGCCCATGGGAGGGCCATGCTCAGAGAGGCAGCTGTTGCAGAGGCAAAGT